AGGAGGAAAAAAGATCCCCAAGTGATTCACAAGACTCAGAAAAACATGGCCTCTGAATATTGCACCAGATTTGTCTTGCACTATTCTCTGCCTTGCTGTCCTGCAGCCATACCAGGCTTTCTCTACTATGTAAGTTTCTCTACTATGTCATGCCATTTTCTGCCTTAAGACCCTGGTCCATGCCATTCTCTCTGCCCAGAAGGCACCTTTACCTCTCTCTTAGCCTACTTCAATATATTCATTCTTCAGATCTCAGGTCAAATGTCATTTCCTTGGCGAAGTCGTCTTTAGCCTCCAAACTGTAATATGCAATCTCAACACTTTATATTTACTTCTACAGCAGTTATCAAAGTTTAAAATGATATATTTGTGTATTTCTTTTTATTTAAATTCATCTCACTCACTTAACAAAGACAAAGACCAAATAAAATTTGTCACAACTGTGTCCCAGATGCCCAGCCAGGCAATTAGATATTCACTGAAGAATGAGTGAACTATTGAGTGAACTAATGACTAAAAGAATAAATGTATATAATACACTAAGTTTGGGGAGGATAGATTTAGCACAAAGACTGACTTGGGACCATCAATACACAGATGTTAACTTAAGTCAGTGGAGCAAATGAAACCACTCAAGAAACAGGGAAAGGAAAAGAGCACTTAGGGTCTGTTATTAACTATCAAGCATTTCTTGATATGATCCATGGATCATCCTACATTGGAATCTACTGGAGATTAGATCAAGGAATCCATATTTTCAACAAGTCCTCCCAGGTGATTCTCACACACTCTAAAATCTGAGAACCACTAACCTTGGAAACCAGCAGAGAAACACTCTTGACCCAGCCACAGAAGTTTGTATTACAGGCCAGGTGTCTGAACATGGAGAAGAGAGAAGCACTGATTGGTGTCAAGTAGCTAAGAGCATGTTGTTGCGCCGAGCACACCAGATAGGATTTAGAAGTACTTGTGCTGATACCTGGTCCCGTCACTTGCTAGCTTTACAACCTAAATAACTACTGGTAATTGTCCTAAGGGAACTGAAACTTGGGAGGTTGGCAATTGTCTATCTCATTGATGTTTTATGAGAATTAAGTATACGGCGTAGTTAAGTCTTAAAAATATTAAAATGGCTTTATGTGTTTAGAAAATGCAAAAGGGATGTTGGTCAACTTGGGAGTTTCCTATTGATTTTCCTCAGATAGTAAAATACTACTGTTAATCATTAAGTGAATTCACATTTTCCGTATGTGTGCATGCCAATGAGAGTGTGTATGTCTTTAACTGTAAGCACTGAAAAGCAGAAATCGAAAACTAAAACCAAGGGATTTCCACAAGACATCACTAAGCATCAGGAAAGGCACTAAAAAAGGCGAAGCTCAAGCTACATCTCTGGAAAATAAGATCATATTCAATCTGTCATTTCTCATTGCCACTATTATATACAGTCAACAATTGCTTTTATCACAAGTTACACAGAAATGACACCTGGATAATCACGTTGCCTGTAAAAATATCATATAAAATGGCAGAATGGTCTGAGTGTTTGAGTGCTGGTTTATGACTTTGGCGAATAACTTGTAATTGTAGCTCTGCTGACAAATTGGTGCTGCTGGGTAAAGCAACATTTTGCCACCTCAGGTCTCTGTCTTATAAAGTTGAATATCAATATTTAATTTCTGAAATCCTAAGCTAGCTTGCAGTGAGTAAGCACATAGAATCTGGGAATAAAGTGCCTAATTCTAAATTTAGGTTTCGCCACTTACTGGCTATTTTTTCTCCCATAGGTAAATTACAGTGTCTTGTTTCTCATCTATAAAATGCAGATAATAATACCCACCTGATAGGGTTATTGTGAGGATTATATGACTTAATATGGTGTAAAATATTTAGAATAGTTTCTGGCACATAATAAAGGACTTAATAAATGTCGACCATTATTCAGCTATGTATCTTACAGGGTTTTTAAGAAAATGTGTGTGTGTGTGTGTGTGTGTGTGTGTGAGAGAGAGAGAGAGAGAGAGAGAGAGACTTCAAAGCTTGTGCCTTTTATTTAGCATCATGTTTCCCTTGATTCAGGCATCCATCTAACACATATTAACTCAGTGCCATCTCTGGATGAAGCATTGGTCTAGACACAGTGCAAATGAAAGGATAAAAAAAAATTGACCTCTCGCCTCTAGATTAGAGTTGAGCAGAGAACATGAAAAGCGTGCATCGTCATTATATAAGGTAGAAGCCCGTGCCATAAAAGGCAGGTATATGGTAATTCAGAGGAGACAACAGTTCATCCCACTTAATAGGCTGTACAGGGCTGGAGGTGGGGCTCAAATAGTCAACACCATGCTGTGGGGTTCAGGCCAGCTATACCAAAGGTGCCACCCAGCAGTGTCCAGCAAGGAGGGAAGACTGTGACCTCATGGAGCCTCTGGCTACACACACCCTAAGGTCTCTCTCCACGGGCATGCTGTTCAAGGTGAAAGTTCTCAGAAACACAAGCACCAAATACCCGTGTACATAAATATTGGGGTCTTTGAAATTCTTCTTTACCAGGACCCAAAAGACAAAAGTTGAAATAAATAATTCAAATCTATGAGCTTATACTTCCATAGAGCTATGTCAGGGGAACAGCATCCCATGCTGTTTACAGTAAGAGCTCTACAGTCCAGTCTTGCCCAGGTTAGTAATGGAGAAAGACAGCACTGCTACCTAATGGTGCCTGGATAGTCATGGAGAGAAAAGTATGTTGGCATTTTCCCAAAGCCCAGTGAGCAGATGGCCATGGACACAAAATCTATCCTGACAATTCACACCTCATTGGGATGCTCGGAGCAAGGAAGGGGACACACAAAATGCCCTTTTTTGGCTGCCCTTCTTCCTGAGGCATATTGGTGGCACAGGAGGGGGACGATTGTCTGACTGCTGCCAAAGGGAGAAGAGATGGTTTTTAAAATCTAGGCTACTGCAGCCTCCTGGGTAGTCAATCTGGTGCCTTTCAAGCAACCAGAGAGGCATCTTAAAGATGTGAGTCTGATTTCCTCTAGGATAGTTGATACCTAACAGATTTCATTCAAAGCTGGCTCTCAGGATAACAAGCCAAGCTCCAAGATGGTGGAGGGGTGTGAGTCCTCTGCAGCCAGGCCTGCTATGTCAGGTAAATGGCACAAAACTGTTTGACCTACTTTAGCAGTTCATTTGTGTTTTCTAAGGATAAGTGCCAGTGGATGATTGGCTTGTTAGCTAGTTGAAGGGTCATTACCAGTAACACTCTACTTTACAGAGGTTTACTAATTTGAATTTTTTTAAAAGTTGGTCAAGGTCCATTTTTTTCTGAAACTTATAGTCTTGTCACATGTATAATATTGTCTTTCATTGCAGATACCTTAACCCATTGGCATTAAAACGTGCATTTATTATATTGCAACAGATGTACACACACGTACACACACATGCTTAATCTTAACATGCCTTTGAGCAGACTTCTATGAATCCACAGTAAATAAAATACAGTGTCAAACTGCTGGCCTATATTCCAAGAAACTATCAACTGAGTTTCAGTAATAAGAATATCTAAGTACTAAATTCATTCTGAAATAAAGTAGATATTAGTCCAATATGAATTATGACTACATAAAATGTTGACTACTTCGCAGTTTCAAATCAGTTTTAAATCTAGTTGAGAACTCTACCCTGAAAAAGAAATCACAACCAATGCACCCAAGATTACCTTGATTTATATTGTTCTTTAAATAAATTACATAGAAAGTGCTATTTTAAGTAGACAGATTTTTAGAGCAGAGAACCCTAATTGTTATTTCAATTGTCTTAGGGCCTAAAACAGTTTAACAATAAAGGTATCTAGTTATTCAAAGATCCACCCATATCAACAGAAAATGGCCAGTTTGGAGTAGTGTCTGAACACAATTGCGTTAAGACAAAGAAACCATAATCACTTACTGGCTGCAGAAATTATTGTATTATTTCATAATAGCAAGTAACACTTGATCACTTAAATATATACCTTTATGAAACATATAGAGTAAATAATTTGATTAAAGGTGACAACGCTATAATCAAGGAAAGCATCAATAATATATCATTGGTTAAAATTGAGGTTATATCAAACTATCCCAAAGATAAAAGTGATAAGTATGCAAATAAAATAAATGGTAAGAGATTGAGGATAGTGCAGAAGAAGTTCGGTTGAGGAATTAAAAGTAAACGTACTTTTTTATTTATATGCAGCTACTTTTCAAAAGAGTATGATCTGAAATTGTACCCCTGGGAAATCAAGTAAAATTATTAGGTAGGGTACTCTTCATTTCCATAATTGGCAAGACTCTCCTCCTTTACTCTTCAGTAGGGATTTCTCTGCCACCTTACTGACTCCTTCCTCCTCAGTGACTTGTGACCGCTCAGGCCTGGCCTAGGGCTCTACTGCACCTCCTCAGCTGCATCAATAGGGAGGCTGTGGCGCTTCAGGGGACTAGTTAAGGTTGGCTGTGCAGATCCAGCTCTTCCTACTAGCAGGCCCCTAAGCGTAAATTTGATGGAACAGGCGTGATAAATCCGGGAGTCCATCTTTCCTAATTCTTTAAGATTAACTGTACCTTTCTCCCCATTCCTGTAAAACTAAGAGTACCAAGGAGTAGACCCTAGACTGCTCTTTGATTTCACTCATTCTTTCTTTGATAACTGATGCCACAAAGCTGGTTAATAGAAAATGGAGTTTATTTCCAATCCCCAAAGAGAAATCTTGACCCATAGAGTGTAGGGCTCATTTCAGTACGCCCTATTTGAAAACACTTGGATTTTAAATCATCAAGCCCAATTTTTTAGGAAAGCTGTCAGGGTAGAATAAAATCCTTCTCAGAATAAACATGCAAGTTCCTTGCAAATAAATTATTTCTACCATGAAGAAACACAGAGCATCCTCTAAAGAAGCATTACCCAATGTTAAAACACAATTAGCGCATAATGTATCATTTAAACATGAGTACCTCCGGCCAGGATCTTCTCTTCCAGTTCTGCCATTTGCTTCTTATAGGCTTTCAAAGCTGCTTCTTTGAAAGAGGGACGGATTCTCTTTGGCTTTGTGATTTCCACGGGCTGTTCAGGGATGTTTTGATTTTCATCTTCTTTTATTTCCATTTCAGTTAATGTGTCACTGAAGGGTTCCAACCCTGCTTCAGTAACCACATCATCTACCTGCCCATCATAACCCTCATCTTGTGGGGTTTCATAAGGTGTTTCGTAAGAAGGGTGATCATATTCTTGCATTGGCTCATCTGTTTCAGTGATACTAGTCCTGTTTTCTAGCTTAGCAAGAACTTGTTCCATCACTTCAACATAATCTGTTCCATTGCCCGCCACTGGTTCACTGTAGTCTTCTTCATCTTCTGCTTTGTAGTAATAAGGCTCTGTGTAAACATCAGAGTCCAGGGTGGTACTTGATTCATTTGCAGTTGATTGGGATAATGTCCGAAATCTCCCCATTAGGGAAGAGCCACTGTCCTCATACCCACTGAGACTCTGTGTGCTTTTGTTCCATACCACTTCCAAGGCTGATTTAGCTCGCTGGAGTGTAGATCCAAATTTTGGGAAGCTGAAAGCCTTATCAGAAAGGTCAATGCTTAATCGACTATGCCAAGATTTGGGTGGGGCATCCTCTGAATCATCACTTTGCAATTCACTTTGACTTCGATACATTGTGGACAACTGGTTTTGATTTTGGTACAAGTCATTAGAATTAGCTTCCTGATAAGAATCATATTGGCCAACCCATTGGCCTTGTGGTTCATTATCCAACCCTGGGCATGGAGATGAGTTGTCATCTTGGGTTAAATCATAGCTCTCCGAGTCATCCTGAAGGTCACTGTGGCACTTTCCCAAGTCTTCTTCTAGGTCTTTATTGTAAGCATCTAGTTGTTGATCAGACAGGCTGTTTGTGTCATAATCAAAAGCTTCCTGGGTGGATGAATCTAAACCTAAATCAGCTCCTTGCTCTACTCGATTCCATTCCTTCCATGGAGAAAGATCCTCATGGAAAGAGAGCTGAGAATCACTGTAATGACTTCGGTCTCCAGACGCACATGCCATGCCATTACTCATCCCACTATCCACAGTCTCTGTGTTCCCAATTTCACTCTGTCCCTGGACACCCCGAAGAGCCCCATTCGAAAGTAAACCCTGAGGACTGTCATACAAGGTAGGTGTGCCCTCCTGTTTCCTCTGCCAAAGTTCCCGGTCTGAAGATGACAGGAGGGAGCTTCCATTAGTTCTAGTGAAAAACTGATTTTCTGAAAAATCTTCTGAGTAAGACTGACACAGTTTGGAAAAATCTGATTCAGAACGACTAAGTTTAGGAGTAAAAAAATCACTCTGTGAATGCCAGAGGGGTGTTGCATCTGCATAATGGGCCGTGGCTTGTTTTTCCGAGTTATCCAAGTCTGGCAATTGTGAGGAAATTTTACCATAATCTGATTTATTTGAAATTCTGCTGCTACCAGCAGTTTTATTCTTGGCTCTTGCACTGTATGATTTTGAACTTGACTTGGAAATAGTTGCTTTTGCTGAAAACTCTGACTTGGAAAGCACAGCATAACTGTTTCTGTTGAGGTCCGAATCCAGTTCTCTATCACTGTCATCAGGTAATTGCCAATTGTTCTTCTTGGCTTTGGGCTCTGGAGTAGACAGCTTTATATCCATGCTTTCATATGTCTGGGAGGATGGTATCCCTCTCTCTTTTCTTTCTCTGATGTCATGAGTAAGAATATCTGTAGAGATTCCGATACCTGATCCTTTGAGTTTATATGATTTTTTTAAGACGGAATCCCTTTGCTGAGGGGTTTCAAAGTACACAAGTATGGGTCGAGGCTTTGCATTTGGGCAGTCCCTTTGGTGTCCTATCCTCTGAGCAAGTTCAATTTTAATAGCATTTGGTGCATCTGAAAACCCCATTTTATCTATTAGAATTTGGTACACCACACTTTCAACGTATTCGAATCTTTCTTCGGGAACATTTAAAAATCTCAGGCTTGCCTTGCTACCCATGTGACCTAGGTGTTTAATATAATCATGGATGTCTCTGGTCTCCCTCCGAGACTGGACGAACCCTGTACGTAGCTGTTCGATTTCACTTTGTACAACCTCCACGCTGCTGGAGATCTCATCGATAGAATGCTTGAGAGCATTGACGTGCCCTCGTAGTTCAGAAAGTTCTGTTTCAATCTGACTTATTCCCTGAAGCTCCTTAAAGATCATCTCCATGACATCATGTGTTTGGCTAATACAGCCAGAGGAACTGAATCCCGGTTCCAAGGCATTTGTTTTCGGATTTCGGGCCGTTCTGTCCAAAGATTTGCTTCTTATTCCCCAGGTTTTCTTCACTGTGCTCAACTCAGAATCTGAGGAGACACAGTCTTGACTCTTTTTCCATTTCCTCAGTTTGCGTAAAGCTCCTAGTTTTAAGCTATGTAGTGTGCGTTCCCCATCAGAGCTGCCCTCAGAGGGTGCCAGGCTGCTGGAACTCTTCCTATTACGTCTAACTGGCATCATGTGTGTTGGTTGTGCCTGGTTTTCTGTACTACTCCTTAGTTCATTGAGTGATCCTGAGTAGGAACTCTCAATTGAAGATAACTCTTGAAGCAGATCCTCATTATCACTGTTGGTTACGTTAATAGTTTTTTGTAGGCCATTGGCAATGGCTACTCGGTAACTGAATGTTGGGGAGAGGGAAAATTCTTTGTTAGCTTCGTCTTCTTCGATGGATAAGTTGCGAGTAGATGAACACTTTGCAAGCTTCTTTACAGTGCTTTTCAAGGTATTAGAAAGTTTGGGGGTTTTGGTCTGGCCAGCAGTCAGAAGGTCTTGATCCTTTTTCTGCTGACGATTCTCTTTTTTTTTTATTGTATTTTCCAATTTCTTTGTAAACATTCCTTTGCAAAGCTTTTGTATGTAAGGTAAGATCAGAACCTTGAACAGATTAGCCACCATGGAGAGCAATTAGTGCAAGCTTCTCTACCCCAAAGACATAAACAAGGTATCAGGGTGAGAATCTGTAAATCCAAGGCAAGCATCACTGTTTAGTTGTTTTCTGAATCACTGAAAATGGCAAGAAGGGCAGCCATGGCTCTGCCACAATGTCAATGTTTTGCAAAAACCAGAAGCAAAGTTCCATTGATGAAAGACATTCTCTCTTGGAAGGAGGGGTTTCATGATCTCTCTCATTCCCACATGACTTCATGTAGCATCTAAAAGAAAGCAATGTTATAATGAGTATCAGAATTCAATTCTAGACTTATCCTATTTCTAACATTTTCCAAAAGTATTCAAGATACACAATGTGTGCAAAATTGCAGGGGAACAAACAGGGGAATATATGAATTTCAACACACAGTTACTTTTAAAAAAAAACTATAAAGCAAATCAGTACCTATAACTATGTTTAAATTTTAATTTTATTTCTAAATTAGTTATAGTTGGACACAATTGAAATGGTAATAAAAGGTAATGATTATTTAGAAAAGGTTGTATAAGATGACAGGCGAATTTAAAAAGCTATATTAACTTCATGATATTATAATTCCCACATTATTTCTTTTCCAAAGTTGCATTTACTTAGACAAGCATAAGCTTTTAAATTAAAAGGTATTCCTTCAACCCCAGGCATTTAAAAGCCATCAAATTAATATTATCCATGTATGTGAGACCTTTTCTTATTTAAATAATCTTTCATTTTTCTAGATATTCAATGACTGGGAATTTCTTATGATTGAAGTATTCCAAGTAAGAAATATTTCATATGACAAAGTAAATACCAACAGGAAATATATCTCATATAGCCATCAAATTTGTCAATGGAATTATCATGGGTTGAAAAATAAATAGAAGGTTATATCAAATTAGGCATTGTAGCCACAAGAAATCCAAGTTTTGAGAGGACATGACCAGAGAGAGCAAATCCATTCTAACCAAGCAGTGTAGCCTTGTGGCAGATGGCAGGAAACCCATCCCCAGGGTTAGGGCCATGATTAGACATAGGTACTAAACCACAAAGAGAAATTGTGCCACAAATCCAATGTGCCTACAGAGAATCAAGAATTGGTCAACTACATTTCATCTTATGATTTGGTGTTTTATACTGCAAATGGCCAGACAAGTAAATATTCTTTAAGATGGTTAGTGTCTTGAATTACAGGAAGAAGGAGGGGGAGGAGAAGGGGAGGGGGAGAAAGACTACATTCATTTTGCTGGTTCACTAGCACTGTGCCTTGTATGTGATAGGTATGCAAATATAATCTTGTTAAATTGAAAGTACTATTTTATTGTTGGAATATATCACAGAATAATGTAACAGTGAAATACCTTTGCTGACATTGGACTACCTATTTCAGTAGATAAATAATCTATTGAATTCTTTAAAGAATATGTCGTCAACTACATATTGGCTTAGGAGCTGGGTGACTATCAGCTCCTTCCACTTGGAAATCTGCCATTTTCACTTCACTCGGGCTTTGCAAGGAATTGGGGAACACATGCTCTGGCCAGGAGCCAAGCTTCACAAGAGACAGGGTCATGTAAATGAGAAAGGGAAGCAAAAAAGATGAAAGAGAGAAAAAGATTGACTAAACAAGTCCAGGTTTTCTGGGTTTCATAAGCTGTCAGAGTTCAGTTCCTCTTGTCTGAAACAATTTGGGGTTCATTTACAATTACCAGCCTGGACTTGTTTTCTACTAATAAAAATGCCAAGGAATTGACTCCTGAATTGAATTTAAAACATCTTTCTTGTACCCACATGTGACCTTCCCTTGTGGAGAAAAGACTTTGGAAAGTTAAGTAGCAGTTGGGTAGATAAATTATTTTAAAACCAACTTTGGTAGAATAAACTGTTCTATGGACTAACCATTCAATCCAAGATCCTGGGTCTCTGAAACCTAGAAACAAATATCCATTTTTTGTTTAAGTGAAAACAGCGATTTTGTCAATGCTTCTGATATTTTCATGAAATTATGTCTAGACTCCCTAACTTGCATTACTAGTTCAGAACTACTGTTCTAGGCAATGATTGTTGAAAAATATCTGAGCAGGAAAATTTTACCTGAATTGAAGTCCTGCCTCAAAAAACACAAACCCAAGGTCATGCACCCACTGTTGCACTTCCTAATTCACTTGCTCTATATTCCAACCACATAGAACAACTTGTTATTCACTAAGTGCTCTTTTACACCTCAGTGGCTTTTCTGTTCTCTCTACCCAAAGTATCAATCATGTCTAGCCCTCCCTGTCTGTAAAAATTGTGTTTAAACTAAAATCATTTGCCCTATGAAAACTTCACCAACCACCCATACTGACATTTTCTCTCTCTTTGCCACTCTCTCCCACAACCCAGCTTATAGGCAATTCTCATTTCTGTCTCCATCTGCTGGACTATACCCCCTTTAAGGATAAAAACTATGACCTGACCACCATAAATAAAGCAGCAATGAACATCAGAGTACATATATCTTCATTGCAGCTTTATTTATAGTGGCCAAGACATGGAAACAACCAAAGTGTCCTTCGATAGATGGTTGGATAAGGAAGTTGTGGTATATATACACAATGGAATACTATTCTGCCATAAGAAAAGATGAAATGGTGCCATTTGCAACCACACGGATGGATCTTGAGATTATAATGCTAAGCGAAATAAGTCAGACAGGAAAAGTAGAGAACCATATGACTTTACTGATATGTGGTATATAAAATTGAAAACAACAAAACAACAAGAAAAACAAATGAAGAAACAAAACTCATAGACACAGACAATAGTTTAGTGGTTACAAGAGGGTAAGGGGGGAGGAGGGTTGGTAGATGAGGGTAAATAGGATCAAATATATGGTGATGGAAGAACTGACTGGGTGGTGAACACACAATGTGATATGTGGATAATGTATTACAGAATTGTACATCTGAAATCTATGTAACTTTGTTAACAATTATCACCCAAATAAACTTTAATTAAAAAACAAAACAGGGCCGGCTGAGTGGCGCGATGGTTAAGAACTCGCTTGGGATGCCAGAGGGCCCCGGTTCGGATCCCACATATGAGGGCCAGTGACACTGCCCTCTACAGCTAAGATGCTGAACAACAGCTCAACCTGGAGCTGGGCTGCCATGAGTCGCTGGCGACGGCGTAGGCTGCAGTCCCTGTGGCAGTGGGTTGCCATGGGATACCGTGTGTAGCCAGCAGCCAGCGTAAGCGGGCAGCCGCAGTGAGCGGCTGTCCAGAAGCCGGCGACTGATCTGGCTCCCCCTGGAAGAGCGCAGTGATGGTGCCAACTTGAGCAAGTGAAGCAACGTCCTCCACAACTAGATTGAAGAACAAAACGACAGCAACTTGTCTGTTCCCCTTCCCCAATCCCCCAGCACTGTTCCCATCCCCCCAATTCCCCAATAAAAATCTTTAAAAACAAAAACAAAATCTATGACTTGTCCAATTTTAAACATCCTGAACCCAGCACACATAATAAAAACTCAAGAAATGTTTATTGAAGAAATGTCCAATGTGTACAAAGTTTTAGTTATGCAAGATGAATAAATCCTAGGAATCTACAGCATATTGTCTATAGTTAATAACACTGTATTGCATACTTTTTATTAAGAGGGTAGATCTTATGTTAAATGTTCATATCACAAACATAATAATAAAGAAAGAAGGAAAGGCAGGATGAAACTTTTGGAGATAATGGATATGCTCATGGCATCAACTGTAGTGATGGTCTCACAGATTTATGCTTACCTCCAAATTCATAAAAAAGAAAAGAATTGGCCCACATTTCAGTTATTTACTAAATATCTTCACCTAGTTGTCCCAAATTAAACTACATCCCAAACCTAGTCATTCTCATGAATTATTAATCTCAATTAATATCATCATAATTATCTGCTTACCCAAGACATACACCCAGGAATCATTCTAGATGAATGACTCCTGAGTATATTCTAGATTGATGTCATTCTAGATTCATATGACCCAACCTATGCACACTCGATGTGAGTATCTCACCTATCCCACTAGTAATGCCTTACCTCTGAACTCCATAATTTCTCACTGGACTATTACAACTGTATCTTAGACAGTTTTCCTAACTCTAATTTGGCCTTCTCTCAAATCCTCCTAAGATTAATATATTCTTAAAAGATATAAATCCTCCTACTTAAACATGGTCTCTCTTAGCAGACTCATTTCCTACGACTTCCACAGGCACATCTGCTCCCGCCATGTTGAGGTAGTAACAGTTCCCTGATTATCCTACTGCTGCCTCACAAATGTGCCTTTATTCATTCTTTTACTTCTGTCTCTATTCCTTCCCCCTTCCCTCTATCCCCTATGTCTTTCTCATGAATATCTCTAGGAGATATAGATATAGGTGATTAGCTAGATATAGATATAGATATAGATAGATATCTGTAGATATCTGTTTGGATATCTATCTATGTGTCTTAGGTAAGAATTAAGGCTTTGGGAAGAAGGTCTTTGAGAGAGATTAAAATACTAGACTATGTTGTTATGTGAAACCTTAATAATGATATTTATTATTTTCTACGTGCCAAGCACTGTGTATGTAATTTTCTAAAATTTAACTCATTTCATTTCACTCTCATAATAATTGTGTAAAATAAGTATTATTATTTTCCAGATAAGGAAGCTGAGGTTTAGAGTTTTTAGGAAACCTGACTTAGATCATGCAGTTACCGAGCAACACAGCTTTGATTCCAAGCCCCAGATTTGGACTGCAAGTGTATAAACCCTGAAACTGATATTAGGGTTGAATGGGGAATAAAATGTTTTTGCAAGTATATCAACAAATTCATTTTGTAAGAGAACTTCTTAATATGACTATAAACCTAGGTACCCTTGTGGGCTAAAAGAGCTAATGAATGTTTAAACAGTCAGCAATTTATTGTTAAATAATTACCATAATCAAGTTAAAATATTTTCAAATCACTAAACAATTTTGTTTCTTATCAAATGCAGAAAACCAGGTAATTGGGTATTTAGGTGTTAATCTGAAAGAGAGAGACAGAAGACATGAAGACATGATCTGACACAGCCCCACTCAGTCTCCACTCCAGGCTTGCCCTCTCCACTTAAGCCTGATGCTCGTCTTATAGTCCATGATTCTGATCTCCTAGATTCCCACCTTTGGCCTAGGAACCTCATGTGTATCACCTGAGCTTCTGATCGTCTACTGTCTACTGACTATTA